GCGTCTGGGCTGCCCCGGGCCGGGGTCAGGCAGCCCCAGGGTCTGGCGGAGGCCCCGCCCTGGCGTGGGTACTTTTGTTTGAACAAGGAAAGCCGGGCTGGGGAGAGAGGGCACCCGGCCCCTTAGGGTGGCCCTGGGGGTCCTGTGCTCCCGCCCATTTTGCAAGGGGTCTCAGACTTCGGGTGGGGCTTAGCCCGAACCTATCATGACCCCCACAATTCTTAGGGGGCTCTACCCCACTCCACCCCTTTTCTGCCCCAAACAAGAGAGCTCAGACCACAGCCCTGCAGCTGGGCCCTGGGGCCCCACGGAGGACTGAATCGAAGGGGAAGGAGGGTCACACTCCGGAGGCCTGTCCCCTGGGAGTGGGGAGTCCGGAGGGCCCCAGAGTGAGGCGGCTGCGGGAAGTCCTGGTGTGGGCTGCAGTGCTGACGGTGAGGCTGACTGGGTGTGGGTGTGATAGGTGCCCCCCCAGCACCCAGTGGGTTCCTTACCGAGGCCAGAGCCAGGTGGCCGCTGTCCACTGCAGGGGCCCTGGGGGTGGGGTGAAGTGGCCCTTAGGGGGCGGGGGTGGGCGCAAATGCCATTGCTTGAGGCTGGAAGTTAGGAATGAGCCAGGCCTGAGACCCAGTGTTGGAGCCTGGAGCAGGGGCTTGAGGTCCCTGCAGGCCCTGAGCTCACCCTACGGCTGCAGGCAGGAACCTCAGGCCGGCCTAGGATTCCAGCCGGCCACAGGCCTCTATCGTCATCTCTAAGATGCCCGGGGCAGGAAGAGGGCCAGGGGCAGGTGTTAGTGGTGGGGGGAGGCCAGGGTCCGAGAGAGCCCTTGCTGGAATCGCACCCGCCCAGGGTTGCCTTCTGGGGTTCCCAGTGAGCACCGAGCTTCCCAGGGCAGCCCAGGTCTCTCTCCGCTGCACGTAGCCCCACGTGGCCAGGGCGGTGAGGGCCCCTCTCGGGGGCTCCCACCTTCGCCTGGTGAAGCTGCCTACTCAGGGCCAATCCCTGGTCACTTGGCGACACACACACAATCAGGCAGAACAATCTGCTGCCCGACCTGGCAGGGTCACCCTCTGCGTCCCAACCGAGGAATGACTTGGACCGCCCCCCGCGGGTGATGGGCTAGCAGTGATGGCAAACCTATGACACACGTGTCAGAGGTGACACGCAAACTCATTTTTTTGGTTGCTTTTTCTTTGTTAAATGGCATTTAAATATATAAAATAAATATCAAAAACATGTCTTTGTTTTACTATGGTTGCAAAGATCAAAAAATTTCGATATGTGACACGGCACCAGAGTTAAGTTAAGATTTTTCGAAATGCTGACACGCCGAGCTCAAAAGGTTCGCCATCACTGGGCTAGGAAGAGGGCACAGATGCCCCAGGCTCCCACCTGGCTTCCGCCACCACTACCTGGGCCCAGGAGCAGGGACCCCTTGTCTTGCAGGAGCGGCTTGGATTCCACTG